TTACTTTGTGAAAAAAAAAATCTAAGTACCTGAGCTAGAATTTAACTCACTTTACTGCCAAAGATGACCTTCAACTTCATTTCCGGATCCTCTGCCTAAGAGTAACTGTGATTGTAGTCCAGCATCACCTGCCCTAGCTTAGTGAGAACTCTTTTTCAACTAATGTACAGATTTTTAACTTAATGTGAGATTTTCATTGTACTGAGAAATGCTCAGAAGGTATTTTCTTGTGAACAGCAAAATGATATTTATTCTAATATAATTCAGTTTACCTCTTTCTTATCTTGCAAAGAACTGTAAACACATGTCAAATCAAATAAACAAAAGAATAGATTTTCCCTTTTTTTCTTTCAAATGTCTCTTTGTCCTACAGTACATGCTTGATTGTGTTTCCAGGTTGTCACATTCAATTTCTATATGTTTGTTATTTTAAATTTTGGGGAGCTTTTTCTATATATTAACACAACTTTTTTCTTGTTGGTAAAATTGCATATTATGCCTATACTTCTGGTAAGGTGTTTTTCCCCTTACTTTTCTTGATTATGATTATAGTTCTTATTGTTTTCACTTGAATATTCATTTATAATTTATATTTCATAGACTTTTTAAGAATGTTAGTGCTCTAATCCAGTCAATAGAGAGTGGTAAGCAAAGTGTTCTACCACTGATCTACATTCTCATCCTCTGCAGAAACTTTAGGTTTAGATAATAAGAGTTTTGTTTAGATTTCAAAGAATATCCATAGTGATATACAAAGGTCTTGTTATAGACAAATCGATATATCCATAAACCTAAATCATATCCAAATATTTATGATTTTATTACGCCAGGAATTCTCTCATGCCTACTTACAAAATCCTTCTGCAACATGCCTAGTATAAGTAGGTTTGATTTTGTCTCCAGAACTTTCATTAGAGAGTACTGTATTGAATAAACTGTGTTATGTTTTGATTTATTCATGTAGCTTAATTTCTCATATTCACTCAAGTTAGAGCCTGTCAGTATCTTCTATTTGTAATTTCTTAATGTATCTGAAAAGTATCTTATATTTAATACTGAAAAGTATTTAATATTAAAAAAGAATTTTATACTTAAAACCTCATTTTAAAAAAAATATTCTCATGTTTTCAAATTTGGGTCCAAAATACAGATGAAATAAAATACAGAATATGTGAGAAAGGCTCCATGAATGTTGCCCTCGGGTTACACGAGCGTCTTCAACACTGTCTCTGTCTGGCTCTTTGTCTCTGTCTGTCCCTGTCCCTGCTTCCCTCATTCCCACCTCCCCCCACCATCCTCTCTGTAAAACTCACTGAGTACAGGATAGTTTGAAAATGAAATTTCCTTTTCTCAGAGTGTAAAATCATCTCCAAGAGCAAAACCGTTGTGTGTCAAGTGTCAGCTTGAGCCCCGGGCGACAGTGCCAAGGCCGTGATGTCCAGAGCAGAGGCGTAAGGAAAGCAGGAGTGACAGAGTATTTCCTGGCTGGGTCTCTGTGTGACTGAGCTAACAATCAGCTTATGATTGTTTAAATGGCTGTGGGTGTTTAATCCCCAGAATTTATATTTAGTTTAAGGTATTAAGGTCTAAGAAGGACAAATCTATGAAAGCTAAAATGAAATGGCCTTCCCAAAAGAGTAATCCTTAGTTTCAAAGAGATCCGGAAATTACATTGTTTAGGTTTAAAAATTTAGATACATGTTGCACAGATTTGGAAAGCAATAAAGGATTAGAAGACTGGAATAAAGAACCTTTGAAATAAGATTATTAGTGCTCAGAGAGGATTTAACCATGAGAGGAGGCAATTGTTTTTGTATCAACACATGTTCTAATACCTCAGTGAAAATTGTTAGCATCTACAACGTATGCTCAGAATTGCACAAACTTTTGAGGGCTTTGGAAACATCATATGGAGACAGCTTGCACTTTGAGGTAAAGTCTCAGTGAACGAAAGAATGCCTAGTGTGATGAAATTTAAATGTAGGGATACTGTGTAATATAAATCATGGAGACATGAATTGTTAAAGAGAAATGAAATGCTCATTTTCTGGGGGAAATTCAGTTATAATAAATAAACTGCCTACAATGGCATTTTTTTTTAAGTTGCAGTAGTAACAGCAGTGATGATCACAGAAATAAAATTTTCCATTTCTTTCCTATTAATTCTATATATACTAGATCTCTTCACATGGAATGTACTTTGATTCTTAACACAACTTTCTGACATACTTTAGTCTTATTTTTCCGTATGAGGTAAGTAAAGTAGCATTCAGAGTTGATAATTGATCCCTAAGAAAATGTTCATATGAAAACTTCCTGCATTTGGCCTGAGAATCAAACCACTATATCACATATAAAAAATTATTGTATGTGTCTTTAATGTTGTCTTGTATGTAAATAAATGGCTATTTTTCTTATTGTCATTAGTTAGGCATTTTTCCTTTCTATAATATTGAATATTTTCAATATTCATTTTTAAAATAGTATTTTTATAATCTTAAAAAAATAATTTAAAATGTATTTATATTTCTTTTTATGAATTTATCTTCATGTTGATGGTTATCAGATATATGCCATTAAGTTATTAAAATGTATAGGCTAGAACTTTTCAATTATTAAACTGTACTAAATCTTTACAAATTACCTTGATAATTTTTTTACTCTTATTTATTAGTGGATGCAGTGCAACTGGCCCATTGTATGAGGTTTTCATGAAACAGTATATTTATAGTGGTGGAACAACACAGAATTTATTTACTAAGCTAAGCTTTAGTATTTGCCTTGTGGCAAAAGATTTATCTTCCCAAGTTAGAGTAATGCATAATTTGTCAATGATTTAAGAGTCTCTGAGTCTTAACTAATATTTTTATGCCTAAATAGATTTGAGATTAACTTGGGAAGGTACTTTCCTCCTTGTAATACTATTCCTTCAAATTTTAGGGAAATTTTGATTACAAGGCAAACTCTCTCCTTGATGGGGCAGGAAATCCATCTCCTTTACACTATTCATCTACTTAAGTACTGATTGCTTTGATTGTTTTTCTTTTTTCCCAAGTTTGTTTCCAAGCCTCTTTCTTCTGCTTTTCACAATCCATAGTTTCTTTCCTATGATCTGATTCTTTATCTTCCATTCCTTCCTCCCAATCTTTTCTCCCATCATTTCATCCTCTCTTTATTCTATGAACTATTTTTAAGTAAATGTCAAAACCAATGGCAAGCCCTTGATTAAAAGCAGCTGACCATCTGCAGACTATCCTGTTTTCCACCAAGATGGTAGGAAAACGACATAGTTGTTAGTCTAATAAATCTTAGTTTATCTGAGCGAAGTTTCTGTGTCTGTGAGCGTGTGGATGTGTGAATATGCATCAATGATCTGTGTGTGAATGTGTGTATGTGTGAATTTGCATTAATAAAGGACAGTATTATTGTATTTGCTTAAAATTTTGTCAAAAAATATGAAAACATAATCTACTATGGAATTTTGAAGATATTTTATTCAAAACCTTTATAAAATTCCAAAATTATGTAACAAAACTAAATTTTACTCTTTTGGGGAAAAACTATGTGAATTTTGAGTACATGTAAAAAATCCACTAGGCAATGTTGAAACTTGCTGACTACCCAACTTTGACAGCTGCTTTCACTGAGCGTAAAGAAAAGAAAGATTATCGAATTTCTTTTTTGCTGAAAAATTCCCCGTGAAATACAGCCAAGTGGTCAAAGGGTGATTAATGAGGGGAGTGGACAAGAGGCTGTGAGGCAAAGCTCCCCTTGCTGCCTCTCCATAGCAGGTGCAGGGTTTGACTGAATGGTGAACTGTCAGTTTTCACATGACAAGCAGAAAAGCAAGAAAATGAACATGCTCTTTCATCATTACTTCTGTGAAAACAAGAACCATCTAAATGCTGGGTCAAAATCTGAAAAGCTAAGAAAATAACTGCTTTCTCTCAATGTCCTAACAATTCTTTCTACGGTTCCCTACTATTGTGATCTCAGCCTTGCCTTTATTTGTCCTTGTGACCTCAAAACATGATTAGAGTTTACAGTGAGAGATGGGTTTGCACTAAGGACTCATGCTTTGGTTGTAGGGAAGAAAATCTGATCCTCAATTCAGATGGGCTAAGAATTTTATAGACGTTATGTTAGAGAGACAGGTACAGAACTAAATACGCAATTAGAGCATAGAGGAAGGAAAGAGGAAGAAGAAGAAGAAGAAGAAGAAGAAGAAGAAGAAGAAGAAGAAGAAGAAGAAGAAGAAGAGGAAGAGGAAGAGGAAGAGGAAGAGGAAGAGGAAGAGGAAGAGGAAGAGGAAGAGGAAGAAGAAGAGGAAGAGGAAGAGGGAAAGACAAAGAAGGGAAGAGACTATCTAGTACATAATGAAAATAAATTGAATGCCTGACAGTTCTAGATCTGGGAATCCAAGACCCATGGACAGAACTAAATACTCAATTAGAGCATAGAGGAAGGAAATAATAACTAATGATGAGATTGCTGTTGTTATTATTGTTGCTGCAGCTGGTGGTGATGCTGTTGCCAAGAGGCAACATGGAGGTTAAACCTGGTCTTTTATAAGGAATTTACTCTCAGTGACAATGGAATCAACTCCTTAATGAGCATGTTACTCCCATGACATAATGACTTCTCATAGGATTCATTGTCCAACATCCATACTTTATACCATGTTTCAAACTATCTAATCTGGATTTGGTGTGAGTAATAATTAAGAGAAAATTGTTTGGTTTCAATCATTTTTTTTTTCGTGTGTGTGTGTGTGTGTGTGTGTGTGTGTGTGTGTGTAATGGATCTTTATTTCATATTGTTACTGTTTGTAGACTGGAAAAAAAGTTCAGGGAGTAGAGAGATGGGATTTACTTTATGGCAGTACAAGTATACACAAACACACACACACACACACACACACACACACACACACACACACACCACACACTCATACAGAATCAAAGTATTTATTTAGATTTGCTTTTTTTTTATATTTCTAGAACCTCAACGTACTGGCTCACTCGCATCCAGTCTTTTCTCTACTGCAATGAGAACGGCCTCCTGGGCAGCTTCTCTGAGGAGACGCACTCCTGCACCTGTCCCAACGACCAGGTAGTGTGCACAGCCTTTCTGCCCTGCACTGTGGGCGATGCCTCTGCCTGCCTGACCTGTGCACCTGACAACCGTACCCGCTGCGGCACCTGCAACACAGGCTACATGCTGAGCCAGGGACTCTGCAAGCCTGAAGTCGCCGAGTCAACTGATCACTACATTGGCTTTGAGACTGACCTGCAAGACCTAGAGATGAAATACCTGTTGCAGAAAACCGACCGACGAATAGAAGTCCATGCCATCTTTATCAGCAATGACATGCGCCTCAATAGCTGGTTTGATCCTTCCTGGAGAAAGCGGATGCTCCTGACTTTGAAGAGTAACAAGTACAAGTCCAGTCTGGTTCACATGATCTTGGGTCTCTCTTTACAGATTTGCTTAACTAAAAATAGCACGTTGGAGCCGGTGCTGGCGGTTTACATCAATCCCTTCGGAGGCAGCCATTCCGAGAGCTGGTTTATGCCTGTGAGTGAAAGCAGCTTTCCAGACTGGGAGCGGACTAAGCTGGACCTCCCACTACAGTGCTATAATTGGACACTGACTCTGGGAAACAAATGGAAGACATTTTTTGAGACAGTACACATCTACCTGAGGAGTCGCATCAAGGCGAATGGCCCCAACAGCAACGAGAGCATTTACTATGAGCCTTTGGAGTTTATTGACCCATCCCGGAACCTGGGCTACATGAAAATCAACAACATCCAAGTGTTTGGATACAGCATGCACTTTGACCCTGAAGCTATCCGGGACCTGATTTTGCAGCTGGACTACCCCTACACTCAGGGATCCCAGGACTCGGCACTTTTGCAGCTACTAGAGATAAGAGACCGTGTAAATAAACTCTCCCCACCTGGTCAGCGCCGTCTAGATCTTTTCTCTTGCTTGCTTCGTCATAGACTAAAGCTGTCTACTAGTGAGGTGGTGAGAATTCAATCTGCTCTGCAGGCATTTAATGCCAAATTACCAAACACAGTGGATTATGACACAACCAAATTATGTAGTTAACCGTATGTCAAGCACAACCCAAAACCTTGAAGGAGTTTTTACAGTGCTTTTGTGGAACAGTTTATGTTTGGAAAAGTAAATTTAAATTGTCTTTTCAATATCTGTCTTATATCAGTCAATAACGTTGGATGGCAATTTACACACATGAACTTGCTGACAATGAATATATTATACTACAGTTTTGGTTTATGAATGAAATAAATACTGACACCAGTCTAGAAGACATTCTACTTTTTACAATAAATTTCATTTGTAATTTTATATGTTCCGTGGCAATGCTTTTGTGCATTACATCCTCTAGAGGGAACATAAAAAGATACCAATAAAATTTTGTAGCTGAACAGTTATTAACAAGAAGTGCTGTGGGATTCATTTTTTTTCCAAGAAATGAGTTCTATTTCGATATAATTTGTAGGAACCTGGGGAAAATTCTCCAGAACCTTTTAATGGAAAGAGTTCAAGTTTCCTTCAGATCATCTTTTCTGAAAAACCCAAATAGGGGGACTTCTTGCATTCAGTTCCTTTCTCCTGGTGAAGAACAGAATGGCTGAAGGGTGTTTTTTAGCTTCATTCAGAAACTAAAATGAGAAACAATCATTATTAAAATTGTCATACACACTAATTTATATATAAATATCAATCTATTTCAGCAAACATATATCAAAATTAGATGACTATAAGCCAAAGTACAAAGAGCATAAACTGGTAACCTTATCAACCCTCTTTATCACTCATTCCACTTCTAGTAACCAGTCACCAAAATTCTGTATAATAATTTAAAAGAATGAAAAGCTACATCTTACCAAAGTTCATAAGATAACACTTCTGGAATTCATACCTGACAAATAGATGCATTTCTTTCTGAGACTCACATTACTAAAATACACTTGATATGGAGAACTTTCATAACTAGTATAAATGTTTCTTTTGAAAGTTATATTCATTTTTTCACTGGTCTGTTATATAAGAATAGACCTGTATTTGGCTATTTTTCTATAAATGGAATTTTCACTTACATTAGAGTATATGATTAGTAAAATATTTTGTCACTTATCACACAGACCTTGTCTAGGGCATATTTAGCAATTTTCCTTACTGAATGACCAAATGCACAGTTAATTCCAGATTTCTTGAGGTTATAGAGCATTTTTTTTCTAAGAGCACAGAAGAAGGACTCATGAAAGGAGTGTGAAATTAAAAAAAATAACTAAAAATACAGTTGATGTAAGAATTCTACACATATTTTGGACTTTGAGGTGTATATTTTCGTTTAAAAAATAATAAGTTGATAGGTCCTACAACAAATATTTAGTCAATCTGCAAAACAAAACATAATGACCAATGTCTAATATGTGGCTGAATTTTTGTTTTTAATAAACTATCTGCTGTTTGTAGGTAATTCAACAGAAAATACACATAAACACTAAATGTCTTTCAAATTTCTGATGTGATTGCAAATATTCTTTTAGTAACATTAATACTTAGTTACATACTATTTCATTCCCTTTGTAGAAAAAGAATGAAGATTCAGAGTGGTTAGTCAAATTCTTTTATTTTTTCAAGTAGTGTGTTTGGTGTCTTTTTTCCCTTTTGTTCTTCTCTCAGACATTATATCCAGACCAGAGTTTCCACTTCTTCCACTTTTTTCAGCTCCCCTCCCCTCCTCCTCTCCCCCAGATTCATATGTTCATAGTGGCTTTACTCATTATAGCCAGAATTTGGAAACAACCTAAATGTCATTCAAACAAAAAAATGGATAAAGAAAATTATTACAATACACAATGGAGTATTGCTTGACTACTAAAAACAATGATATCATGAAATTTGCAGGCTAATGGACAGAACTAGAAGAAATCATCCTGAGTGAGGTAACTCAGATGCAGAAAGACAAACATGGTATATACTCACTTGTAAGTAGACATTAGCTGTTAAGTAAAGGTTGGTCAAATTCTTAAAGACCACAAGCCAAGGAGTTGAACACAAATTTTCCTAGAGTTAATTTAATCACTTTTATTTGCACCACTGGTTTCTAAAAGAATGACTATATCCCTTTATTGAATTTGATGTAATGTAAAAATTATGATAAAAGAAGAGTAAAAAGAAAGTATGCTAAAAATAGGTAATATTGTAAAACACATATACCTGAAAATGAAATAAAATAACCATTTACCATCTTTGACCAGCCACTCACATTTGAGTAGTCTCATCAATGTATTTAAAATACTTTTCTGAAAGGATGGTGGGTGTCAGCTGGGCTAAGACCCTGCTCCCCAGAAACTATCTAAACACTGTACACAATTAGCAGCGTGCTTTATGAAGCAATCATTCAGAGGTAATTACAAAAGCGGTCAGTGGTGTTATCTCTTTTATTGCATAGTTCTCTATGGCATGTGCAGCACGAAGAAGAGATGATCCCACTATCACAGGTAAGAAAGTGTTTCAAGGCTTCAGGTAATGGTTAATATTAGTGTAAAAATCAAATTGAATGGAACTATATTAACATTAGCTCCAACTCTGGTTAAACTAATTCAGTAAGTCATTTGAGTTTCATAGTGGTCTCTATGAATGACAGAGAAAAAATGATTTCTTCTCTCTAAATAGAATTTCTATGACAATTAGAATAATGTATGTAAATATACCAAGAAAATTCTAAAATGCTGATACATATTTAAAGGATATATGACCAAAATATAGCTGCCAGTTACTGTCACATATTGATAAATAACAGGAAATTTCTGTCTAACAAATAATAGACAACATAATAATCTATTATGCATACAGAGAACGGAGGTCATAACAATTTCATTTCTCCTGAATTGGTTTGTATGCAAACATTTCTTCTCGTAGTTGTTTGAAGAATTTGAGAATTGCTTGTTTTGATTTGAGACAGGGTGTCCTAAAAGCCCTGGCTGCAACAAAATAATTATATGACAAGGAAGGACTTGGACATCTGATCCTCTGGTCTCTGCCTCTTAAGTATTGAAGAATTTTGGAAATTTACAATAAAAATAACTTCTCTGTCAAAGTCCCATTTGCAGCAAACACATGGAGAGTTTGTCTTTGACTTCCTTTTGTTAACTTCTTTGTAAATGTTGTTTCCTTATTCACTTCGTGTGTGTGTGTGTGTGTGTGTGTGTGTGTGTGTGTGTGTGTAAGAAAGTGTGTGCAGCAGCATGCAAAGGCTAGAATGGAGCAGAATTTCACCTGGAGCTGAGGTTATAGGCTGTTGTGAGTAGGCTGAACCCCAAACCCCTAAGAGAGCAGCAAATGCTCTAAACCATTGAGACCTCTCAACAGCAACTGATACTAGCTAGCTTCTTGATGTCCTCATAGTATGTCTCTGGCTTTGAGCTGAATCAATACCTTGGAAATTAAAATCTGAAATAAAAAAAAAAATACAGAGAATAAGATTTTTTTCTGGGGAAGTCTCCACTGTTTTATATGCATTGATTATCATCATAATTTTACCTATCTTGCTATTTTAGGATAGTAAATGGTTTATAAGTGTATGAAATCATTCATCAAATAACAAACAAAGAGCGAGCTAAAATACCTTGTTATCCTTCTTTATTCATACAACATATAATGACAGGTTTCGTGTTTTTCTCTATATTTTTATGATTCAAGTAAAAGCAATAAAATTACTGTAGAACTCTGCTGAACTTTGTATAGACCAGTAATCAAACTCACCTCTCTCATGTAGAAGAAAGACCTTTGTTTTTCTCATTAGGAATACTGAATACCTATTGAATTAATTTGTTTGAAAAACACAAACCATTTGGAATGACATCAAAGCCAAATAAGTCTATGCATTACAGAAATAAAAGACAATTAAGTGAAGTGAGTTTCTCAGAATATAGAAAGCTGAAATGTTAAAGTGCTGGAAACAAAGGGATAGAAATGCCCTTTAAATCCAGGCATAGTGGAGAAGCATGCACCTCCATTCTCAGCACACAAGAGGCAGAAGGAGGCCAATCTCTGGGAGTCTGAGGCCAGTCTGGCCTTCCATAGCCAGTTCCAAGCTAGACAGGCGTATATAATGAGACACTGTCTCAACAACAACAAAAAAAGCTGCTTAAATAATAAACATGCATTTGAATCTTAAGAATCTTTTGTTTATCTTCCAAATAAACATTATAGAAAATAACATACTCAATTAAACAGAGCTTAGAAACACTGTTAGGTTACCCCTCTATACTTGCATCTGGATCATTTTTAATAAAATAATAATTAATAAGCAAAATTGAGATTTTTCCTCTGACAGTGTCCACAATAAAAGTGATGACTGTTGTACTTACTTTAGGATGCCTTAGAAATGTCCACCCTGTGGGATATTTATAACCTGAAAGCTCACAGTCTGCCATGTTCATTCCTTGTCATTTTTGCTTACTAGTAATGATATTCTGCTTTCCTCTCCTCTACCTACACAATCAGATTTATTTTCTATGTTATGTATTTTCTGATAGTCTAAAGCTAAAACATTCAAGAAATAATTCAATCACCACCTCCTATAATTCCAGTATTTTAGTAAGTGGAAAATTTTTTCAAACTTCTCCATTTACTTTACATGAAGGTGGTATTAGAATTTTCATAATCTATGATTTGGTGATGAATTAGAATATCCATGTCACATCATTTATATGTGAGGTGTGGAAGCTAAGTAAGATAAATTAATTCAAATAAATTTCAGAAAAAAATACAATTCCAATATGTGAAATTACCACATGCATAGGCAATCACTTTAACCAATTAATGACTGAAATATTCATTAATCCAGTGATTAGGCCATATACCTTCTCTAAAATAACTACAGTGTATATTTTACTAATTAACTATTTAGGCACTAAGGTACTACCCATGTGGTATTATAGCAGACTTTCTGTAGGGCCACCAAGCAACTCCCAAGTCATGACACAGAGACTTCTTTTTAGATATGAATGTTCTGCCTTATCATATACTTGTCCCACTAGCTCTTATAACTTGAACTATTTCTTTTTATTTACCTTTTTCTCAGGGCTTTTTTATTTTTGGTTGTGAGCCTAGCCTTTAACGGCTGAGCCATCTCTCCAGCCCTCTCAGGGCTTTTTTAAATTTTATTTAATTTTAATTTTTTTTAACTTTTCTTTCCTTCTGTATATCTGACTTTCATTGTTTCTCGTTTCTGGCTCGCTGGCGGCTGCTTGGCTTCTAGTCCTTTCTCTCTCATTCTCTCCTTTTCTCATTCCACTCCAGGTAGAATCCTATTTATTCTCTTTGCCTGC